TCAGTCAAAGGATCGGTATCTTGATCCTTTGTGCCACGAGGGTAACGGAGGTAACAGGAACGCACCTTCCCCCGCGCCAGCGTGGCCCCGTCAGCCCCAGCCACGCGCCCGGGGGTACCTTGTGTCCTGAAGGTCTTGCCGCAGAGGTGGCACTGGAAGGGCTTCTCGCCCGTGTGCGTGCGCAGGTGCATGTTGAGGTTGGCTTTCTGTGTGAAGGCGTGGTGGCAGAACTCGCAGACGTAGGGCCGCTCGTTCCTGCGGGCAGGGAAGTGGTACCGTCAGCCCCGCGGGTAACCGCTGGTGCTGGTGCTCCCCACCCCGCGGCTACTTCAACCCATCTCAATCGCAAGTATTTTGGAGACTCGCAAACGCTGTTCTGGAGCCTCCTGACCCTTGGGTGTTATAAGCAGCTCAGGAAATGGAATGCTGAGGATGAGTGTGGAGAGCGACCGCTGGTGAACGCTTCCCACTGCAACACCGTGAATGAGCCACGCTGGTGCGGCTCAGTCGCCGCCTGTGCCTCTATGGTGGTACGCTCAGAGGAGGCACCAAGGGTCTGCGCTTCCTTTGACGGGGAGTAAAGTGGAGTGCTGGCTGGATCCAGCATTCCGGCAGAAGTTTCAGCCCAGCGCCTCCAGGAACGGGCTGCTGCTGCCCTCCAGCCAACTCCTCCCCCCAGCATCACCCAGGATGACGCAGGGGAGGACACGGGTCAGGTCCTACCTGTGCTTAGCCTTGATGTGCATCTGCAGGCCGTTGCGGCTCGAGGCCCTGTGCCCGCACTCCTCGCAGACAAACAGCTTCTCTCCCCGGTGCTTGAAGGCCTCGTGCAGGCGCAGCTCTGTCCGAGACAGAAAGCACTTGGAGCAGGTCGAGCACTGCAGGGCCACAGGAGAGCACACAGGGGTTAGGCATCTCGCCCGCCACGGACCTGCTTGCCACCCCAGACCCGTCCCCTCCCCCTGCCTCTGCTGCTCTGGGGTGCTCCCCATGTCCCCAGCTCCAGGACACCCCCTGAGGTGAGACAGCCTGACAGAGGCGAGATGCTGGTCAGTACCTGGGTCTATCAGCCAAAAGAACGATGAGGGGTGCTCCTGTACCCAAAAACACTGTTCCCAGCAGCTCTATAACCCCCTGCCTCGCTGAGCAGAGCCAGACAGGGCAATGGTGCCACTCTCCAGCCCTGAGCATGGAATCGCTCCCTCCCGGACAGCCACCACTGCTTGCTGCCCTTACCGCGTGGGGCTTTGGTGCACCGTGCAGCTTTATCATGTGGCTCTGCAGGTCCTTCTTCTGCATGAACTGCTGGGCGCAGGAGGAGCACTGAAAGACAGCAGAAGGATGCTCAGCTTCCAGCTGCCCCCAGACAGCCCCTTCAGCACAAGGAGAGGACCAGCGGTGCGGCAGCGCAAGGGGCAGGGGAGCGCCGTTCTGACACAGAACACGAATCCCTGGTAAGGCCACAGAAAGTGCCTGGATTTGGGGCCTCCCCGGGTCACGTTCCAGCTCACAGCCGCGGAATGACCCTCGGGGTGCTGCTGCAGACCGAGGAAGCAGGTTTGGGCTCGGGATGCTGAAGGCAGGCACCGCTCACCTTGTACGGCATGTCCCCCGTGTGCGACACCATGTGCAGCCGCAGCTCCATTCGCCTCTTGAACACCTCCTGGCAGACTGAACACGTGAAAACCTGCACGAGACGGGGAGGCATCAGCCTCCATGGAACAAAGAGCCCGCCACGAAGCGCAGAGCTCGGACCGGTGCTGGGACCAGCTTATGGGGTTTAATCAGCAACCACAGGATCTGGATGTTGCAAGACACAAAGAGTATCCTCGCGTGTGAGAGCTGCCTGGGAGAGCAGCCACAAGCTGCTGCCGTGCCATCAGCAGCAGGCAGTGGGGTCCTGGCTATGGGACGTGTGGGATGCAGGGGCAATGTGGGGTTTTGGGTTGGCAGCCGAGTGTGACGTGGGCTGTGGCAGGGAAAAGGCTCCAACTCCAGTGCTGCAGAGCAGAACCCACTTCCCAGCCCTCCGGTGGCAGCTTCCCGGCTGTTGTACCTGCTCAGATCGGTTCATGCAATTCCTGGCTTCGTGTTCCAGGAGGTTCTCTTTTCTAAAGTAACATTTGCCACATTTGGAACACTCAAATGGCTTCTCTCCAGTGTGTTTCCTAGGGGGAATACGACCGGAGAGCACCCGTCACCGCGGGGACGCGCAAACGGGCCCGGTGAGGACACTGGGAAGAAACTGGGAATGGAGAGGGGATGTTCAGGCAGCTTTTACACCCCATTCCCCAGCGCCAACGTTTGGAGTCACTCAAAATCTGCCTTTTATCCCAGGTTTGCTGATCCCATTGGAGCACAGTCCAGATGCCGGGGCCCACTGACACGTCTTTCACAGGGCTCTTTGCCCCTCACCAGCAGAGCCAGAGCTCCTGCCCTCTCTGTAGGCACCCGCTTTGCTTTCTGTTATC